TGACACAACATGTCAGTGTAATTTTTTTGATTGAACTGACATTTTGTGACAGTGTGAACCGTTAAGATGCTAGTGCATCTCTTTGGAATACACTTGTTGGTGTATCCCTAGCATGATTGAAAACAATATAGTCATGTCATTTCAAGTTTTCTAGATCTTTTGTGGTAATTTTTAAACATACATTTTTTATTTCTTAATCTTATACGATTTTTATATAAAATAATTTGAAAATAACTTAAATTCAACATCGTAACACACAATGAAAAGATAATTTTTGAACGGAAAGGATGTTTCTATAAAAAAGAAGAAGATGAGTCACCTTTCAAATTGGTCAATCATTTCAAAAAAGAAATTTGAGTCATGATCACAAATTAATCAATAAATAATTGAACCTACGCTTTTTAGAAACTCTACACTTCATATAGTTACCTTACAAAATAATTGTCAGAAATGGAACTAGAATGTTATCTCATAGCCTTTTGGCATTTCGTAGCTTCCAAGTCATTAGATATGGAAGTCACGTTATGCTTCGAAATAAAGAAGAAAATACATATGAGTTCAATCTCCTATCATTCTAATATCATGGAAGGATTAAGAACATATATGTATGTGTCGAATATCTCTTATATTAGAGCATGTTTAATTTGGTGAGCCAGCCTCATACGGGTTTGGATATCTCCGATTTCAAGTATCCAAAGTTTAGTGTTTGGTGAACTAAAAAAGATACCAACTTTGAAATCTAGAGATTTAGAAGCTCTCTATCACATGCTTTTTAATCTATTTCTTAATATACTGATATCAAACTGAAAACTTTCAATTTGGAGGCTTTGTTGATGGTAAACAATTTTGATCAATCAAATTCAAAGCAATCTCTTGTTAGACATTATCTCCTTTCCTCGACAATATAAAATTGAAGGTAATCTCTTGATGTATGTATTCGTATTCCTCGAATACAACTTTTTCGTTTCATTCTTATGAGAAGCCAACAATGGTCGCAACTACCTAGAGGCTGGAAAAGGCCAGCTCTTCGCCGCCATAAATTGTAGCTATCTAGAACCATTTCGACACATCAGCTGCCAATTACCGGGTGCTAGATGAGGCAGTGGTACTGTGTTGGTGAAGATCAAAGTTAGTTCTTCAATTTTACCATTTTCTCCAAATAATTTATATCAGATTTCACTATCTATTTCTTATATTTCATATTTGAAGTCTCGTTTAATTTCTTCGTTTTAGACTCTTCAAGAGAACTACATCATGTGAAAACTGGAGACAAGAATATATCATTGTCCCACGTCACTATCAAACAACTTGTTTGCTCAACTCATTTCTTAATAGAGTGAGTGACTTATTAGGCAAATACTAATTCTATATAGTACTCTACTTGTCCAATATTTTGGATGAGGGATTACCAATACATACATACTTTAAATTTATGTTAATATGTCATGTTTGCACTGCACGTTCTTGTTTTTCTATATTTAACAAAGACTAAAGTTTTCTTTTAAATGGTTGAGTAACATGTATAATTGGTCAAAATTTGACACACAATATGCAAAAACAAAATGAGATAAAAAGAATAGAGGAAGCATTAGCCAACTTATGCTGTTCATGGTCTTTTTTTATTGATCATTTTAGGGAGTAACATTTCTTGATACATTAAAGATGACTTGATGTAATTTACATTCATTAAATATAGGAAATGGAAGGAAATCACACAAAAAATAAAATGAATGAGGTCAAGGAGTCTATGAGTCTGTTTGGAAATAGCGTTAGAGATTAGTGGCGTTTTGGATAAAATTTTAACGGTGTAGATTACTTTAAAAACGTTAACGTTAAACGCTGCCCGTAGATAACTTTTTCAAAACGCTAACACTAATCGCTAAAGCTATTCCCAAACTGACCCTACATATGAGAGGAGATGCATGGGTGGATAAATTCTTTCAAACAAATGAAAAAGGAAATTGGAAGATTAAGCCAACAACAATTTAAGTAATCAACTGATTAATCAAGGCAAGAAAAGTACTCCGCAATAGCAAATCTAAGATACGAGTAGTTCAGAAATACTGGATGCAGAAATTCATTGAAGCCACAAAAAAGCTTAGATCGAGTTCCTCCGTCACGAATCATGCGCGCTCGTCTTCACGCCCTTTGACAACCTCTATCGCCGAACATCGCGGCGGCGGCGCCGCCGCCTCCTCTTTGAATGGAACCCACTCGTACCGCCCTTCCAAGGGCAGGTCCTTCTCCACATCGTAATTGTACCTGCAACAATAACCATCCACCGTATATCAGTGTACTTGCGATGTATGCGCTAGTGAGATATGGCTCTGCGGCTTACTTTTCCCTGAAAAATTTTTGCTGGTACTTTTCAGAGGCTGAGAATAATTCTTCGATCTCTGCAGCGGATGGCGTACGAACTCCGCCTCCGGCTTCCAATAATGACGATGCCGATGATGATGAAGGTGATTTCTCCACTGTCCATATCTCCTCCTCCTCCTTCGAGAACTCCATTTCTGACCTGCAGAGAATTCCGGCGGGCGGCCTTATCTCCCTGCTGCAAAACAGAGCAATTCCGATCCCGAGTATAATAGTTGCAGAAAAATGAAATCCTTCAACACAACGAGGCGTCGTATTTATAATAGCACGCAGGATTTGAACGTTCAAGATCGAGGCATCCTTCATGTGCGCATATACGCCAGAATCTGACCGTGAAATCCTCAGAAAAATACCTGAATTTGCCGTTGGAATGCGCTGTATCGTCCGTTTCGAAAACAATCTCCTGGAATTCAAAATTCAAAAACCTAAATATCCGGATTCGAGAAAATCAAAATCCACCGAGTAAAAACAAGTTTCAGATTTCCAGACAAGCAATTAAAGCGCAACGAGAAGCAGGAAAAACCGGAAAAGCGATAAGATAAATTCGGACGATCGAGTTTAGTTTGCTGTCTTCACTCACCTTCAGATCCGAAACGCTCTCCGCCGCAAAGCTAGACTCCTCGCTCTCTGAAGAAGACGCCGGCGAAACAGATTTTTCCGGCGAGCAATAGGCCTCGCAATCGCGTAACAGAGAGCAAAAAGCCTTTCTCCTCTCATCCGAACTGAACATCGTCTTCTGTCCAGCTTTTCCCCCCAAAGCAGCCACATTTCCATCTCCGGCCTCCATCACCTCTGCCATATCCGTTCGCATCTATCCAATCACTCCTCCATCTCTCTATCTCTCTCTAAAACAGCTCTGGAAGCTGAAAACCGCCAATGGCTAATTTATATACAGGTGCGAGAAAAGCGGAGCGAACTTTCTGGCACTCACTCTCACACGCCGAAAAGTTTTCTGAAAAGAAAAAAAAGGAAGGATCGGAGACCGAGGGCAAAACGGGAACGATGAATAAGAGAGGAAACCGATCGGAGGGTGGAGATTGAAGGAGGCGGTCATGGGGCACGTGGACGGCGGAGATGAAGTGTGGTCCTCCCTCCGCTCACAGCGGCAGTGGACATGGGAATACCGTTGAGAGGGGCATATATAGCAGTGTGCATGGCAGAGAGTCATGAGAATGATTACAGATGCGTGTGGCCAATGAGTGAGCGCCACGTGGAGCGGGTAAGAAGAAGACCAGGTAAATATATTCACCAGTTCACAGTAAATTTTACTCACATACCTTCTATAATGGGTAAAAAACATCAAAATAACCGAATGCATTTTCTTTGGAAGGAAGGCAGAGGGCACATGTATTATTCTTTTCAGGTCAGAAATTATGAGCACAAAAGTGGTGCCCAAGAAAGAGGAAAAACTAAAATAAAGGTTTCTTTGTCATTTTTGGCTAAGAATGTGGCTCTCTTAAGATGAGAACCAAATTGAATTTTAGACACCAAGATGGCCAAACGTATGAGAATTTTAATCCTTTCATATTCTATTGGGTATTTGTAAGTTTTTCTCTATTCTTTTATTATCCAATGTGATACACATGTGTACGAACACAATTTTTAAAATCTTTCTTTTATACTCCCTCCGTCCACCTAAGATCTTCCCATTGCGCGTTACGAGGCTTGACCGACTTTATTTTCAATTCAATTTTTTTTGAATATAGGGGTAAAATTTTAATGTAAAATTTTTTTAATAATAAAATACATGAAAAGTTTTGCAAAACTAGATGTGACAAGACTATATTATTTTATAAAATGAGTAGTAAAAATAAACAAAGTGAACTAAGTTGGACCCTGTGAATAGTGTCCGGGAAGATCTATGGTGGACAGAGGGAGTATCAAACTATGCAGGTGTCGAGGGTTATATGAAGCCAATAAGATGAACATCTATAAATACACTATTGAGGATGACCATCAAGAGTACTATTGTGGAAATAGCCGGATAGGTATCAATATGTTCGTTAAAAGAAATAAATCATTTACGGAGTAATATATTTTGAGTAGAAATTATTTCACAGTATGAACTATATGTGGTGGAAAACTATTTTTCTTGTCCATTTCGGTTTTCTTTAGATCTCAACATGTTAAGCAACTTCTTATTTAAATCACTTTCGAATTTTTCAGTATTATAAGTTAAGTGTAATCTAAGTGATACTTTCCATTTTATCATTGCTTTATGTTAAGGTATAATAAGAATGATGTAAAAGGTAATTAACAGATAATGCAAAGTACTATAGTACTGTAGTAAATAAGTGAGTTTAATCAAAAGAGAATTTTTTTTAAACATATTAAAAAGAAAACATGAAATGTTTGGTGAGAGGAAAAGAGTATATTCACTTTAATCAAAATCAATATAGAGAGCTTTCTTTCCATATTCATTTCATTGTTTACTTCAATTTCGTTTTGAAGTTCTCAGTCTTGAGCAAAATCTTATACATACATACATACATACATACATACATACATATATACATATATATATATATATATATATATATATATATATATATATATATATATATATATATATATATATATATATAGTCGTATGTCATGGAAGGGAATCCTGCGGCATAGATTCCAATTAACAAGTACATTTATGTGTAGAAACAATTATGATGACCCACTAAGGTGACTGAAATTTTCACCATGCAGATGGTGGTACTAGTCAAGTAATAATCCTCAGTAAAACATAAGCAAGTGCGCTAAAACTAATGACTGGCTAAGGTGAAAAGAGGTGAAGTGCACACATTTACAACGTTGGTACTCCCAATCACATGTTGGTAATTGTAATGCTAGGAAAAATAATAGAGTGGGGGTGGGGTAAAAAAATCCTTCCTATTATGAAAAAAGAAAGATTACTCATTCTCATAGTGCTCTGTTGACTTGAAAGAAGTTGGGATGTTCCTTGTTGGCAGCATCAACGTCCTCTGCCGATGCCACAGCAACCACAACACCGGTATCTTTTACCGCTTGGATAACATCGCCAAACTCCTTGAAATCGGACAACCTAAATGAAGAAGAAGAAGAAAAACGGGTAATTCGTTGGATTTTGTTGGAGTTCCAATTAGTCATTTATCCAAAACAGGTTGCCATGGGTAGCTCTAAACCCATTTGCATGCAAGATATGGATGGATGAGTTTTATGGTCCAACTTACACGTAACATCGAATTGAGTTGGTTAGTCTTCGGGTGTGTTTGGTAGAGTGCGAATTCATTCAATGAATTACATGGAAAAGGTTTTCCAAGCAAAAGACAAAAA